ATATTTCTGATGAGATTAATAAAATAACCCTGTCTAAATAAAAAAAAACCTATAGTAAGATATCATACTTAATGATGAGATCTTAGAGGTATTCCTATCAAAAGTCAGGAACATGACATTCAAGTGAGCCCTTCATGCTGCTGCCCGGCAATCACACTATATTTCCCCATTCTGTTCTGTTCTCTTTTCCACTCTTTGATAGAGGACTACATCATGTATTTTTCCCTCTTCTCAAACCCCTGATACACACTCCTATTCTTCTTTATTCTCAGCCAGTGACCTTGCTTCCCATACACTAAAGCAAACAGAAAACCTTAGGTGAAAATTTGCCCAAACCACCACCATCATGTCTGTGTCTACATACAGCTACCCGTGAACAACACAAGGTTGACTGCATGGGTCCACGTATATGTGGATTTTTTTTCAATAAATACAGTACAGTACCGTAAATGTATTTTCTTATCATTTTCTTAGTAACATTTTCTTTTGTGTAGCTTACTTTATTGTAAGAAAGCGTATATAATTCATAGCAATACACAAAATATGTGTTAACTGGCTGTTTATATTATCAGTGAGGCTTCCTGTCAACAGTAGGCTATTAAGTAAAGTTTTGGAGAAGTCTAAGGTCATATATGAATTTTTGATGGCACAGAAGTTGGCGCCCCTAATCCCTGTGTTGTTCAAGGGTTCACGGGTCAACTGTATTCCATCTTCTCTCCTGTTTCTATAGATAAACTCTCCTACTCCTATTAAAGCAAAGGCTAATCCTTCCACCTGTGCACACAGATCAGGAGTCAGCAAACCACATGCTATCTATGGCTGCTTTCAGGCTATAGAAGTAAAGCTGAGTATTAGTAACAGAAACTGTTTTGCCCACAAAGCCTAAAATACTTACTATGTAGCCCTTTGAAGAAAACTTTGCTGACCCCTGTAGATTATCTCTTCTCTCATCTAATATGGGCAGAGCTGGTTGCAAGGGCCCATTAAGTTCCATGCACAAGAAATAAAGTAAGATCCACACAAGACACATACATCAGGGACGTATCAGATATACTGGGATGGAGTTCCCCATCAAATCCCACATCAGGCTCCCTGCTTGAGGGGCGTCTGCTTCTCCCTCTACCCCTACCCCCTGTTCGTGATCTCTCTCACGCTCAAAAAACAAAAAAACCCTAGATCTAAAAGCCAAATCGGCAACCCTCTTGGGTCCCCTCCCTCTCCCAGAGACTTGTAGTATCGCTCAATAAACTCTGCTGCCCACCACTCTTCCTCTGGTCTACCTCTTCATTCTTCCAAGTGGCGTGACCAAGAACCATGGGCACCAAAGGAGAAGAAATCCTGTAACTGTGATACTTTTAGATTTTAAATAGGTTTTAAAGTTTAACTCACAAAAAGAAAGTAAACTAACTATATTTCAATTAAGAGAGGGTTTAAAGTTTAAAAGTTCAGAAATTTCTGGAAAAGACCAGTAACTACTGTACAGTGAACTGTAGCACTACATGTTGATGCTGTCCCCAAGCCCTACACTCCCAAGATGGAGCACTGCAGTACAGTAACAGCTACCACTCGGGTTTGGGCTGACTGCTCACTGGCGTTGTGCTTCAGCATCTAAAATAGAGATAATAATGCCTATAAAGTTGGCAGTCTTGGGGGCACCTGGGTGGCTCAGTCAGTTAAGCATCCAACTCTTGATTTTGGCTGGGGTCATGATCGCCGGGTCCTGGGACTGAACCCCAGGAGGGCTCCACTTGGCGGGAGTCTGCCTGGGGTTCTCTCTCCTCCCTCTTCCTCTGCCCCTCCCCCCTAAAATTTATTTAAGATAAATAAATATTAAAAAACAAAACAAAATTAGCAGTCCTGTCAATAAGAAGTACCCATATATTTAAGTATCCGTAATACATATTAAAAAGCTTTGTGATCTGCAAAGAACTACACCAATAGTCATGTTTTAAACAAAAAGGGAAACTATCACTTTCAAATTTTTCTGATTTTAACAATAATGGCTATCAGATTCTATGGAAGAACAGTGGGACACTGGTCCACTCACACACACACACACACACACAGTCAGAAAAAAAAAGATTTTTTTAAAAGATTTTATTATTTATTTGTCAGAGAGAGCACAAGCAGGAGGAGTAGCAGGCAGAGGGAGAAGCAGGTTCTCTGCTGAGCAGGAAGCCCAAGGCGGGACTTCATGCCAGGGTCCTGGGATCATGACCTGAGCTGAAGGCAGATGCTCAACCAACTGAGCCACCCCGGCGTCCCAAGAAAAGGCAGTATTTTAAAAATCTAGACTTAAAAAAAAAAATCAGACTCCCTTATAAACAAGTAAGTGCAGGGAGAGAATATTTTTAGCAAATATTTAACCATAAAAACCAAAAGACTAAAGTTGTTTAACCGAATGTAAACTGTGCATCATCTGACTTTAGGTAGAATGTTTATTTTTGGTTATAGTTGGGAACCAGATACACAATGTATATAAACACCAGCATATTTTTTAAACAACTGTCTTAATGCTTTTGTTCACTCAGTAATAATTCCCACTATACTTACAAGGAAAAACACAAACAATATCCTTAACCAAAACTCATCATAGGAGTTTTTACTTCTTAAACTTTTAAACTAACATTGAACAAACAGCATTATCTGACGAGTAGTAGACTATTTGCCCACTTAGTCTTTCAACTCCACGAGAGCACAGACCTGTCTTTTTCTGTTGTATCCCCAATACGGAGGCACCTAACTGGCATCAAATATATACTCAATAAGTATGTGTGGAATGAATGAATGAATAAGTGAATGAACTAAAGCTTAAGTGTTTTAAGTTGCAACAGAACATTTTCACTTATACATCCATCACTCAGTACAAACAACCAGTCTCAACTGTAATGACATAATAAACTGAAAAAGACACATACTAGGCATTTGAAAACACAACTCTATTACTGGTGTGTAATACACTAAGTAAAAGATTCGCAAAGCCAGTTTTTTAGTTATATTTTTTCTCAAGAAATTTTGGTGTGTTCTTTCTGATATCAAAATATACACATATATCAGAAAAGCATGCTGCAATCTTGATAAACCAAACACTATCTTTAAAGTTCTGTTGCAATATGGAATAATTAAGGCAAAGTGAACAGTATTTCCAGAGTTCCACACAGAATATTTTGAAAAGTCAAATTCCTTAATTAAAGGTGAAATAAAATGGGAAAAAAAGGTAGATCTTACTATTTAAAAATTTTTATACTGAATTTTAAAAAAGGCGAAAATGTCGTTTAGACTAAATTAATTACACTGAAATTATTTATGCAAGAAGGCATCTAACATCCTTATATTTAATCTTTAAGCTAATAAGACAAGTTATTTTCCAAAATTTTTAAGCTAGATGATAAACTTTATACTCACAAAGCTTGAATTAGAGAAGTTATTTTTATTAAAATAATACTGTTTGGACAAGTTCCTTCATAATTCTAAAGTCTACAGTAAGATATTCAGCAGTAACAGTACAGTAATATATTTATGATTCTACCCAACTTGCACAAGCATAATTATCTGGGTGGAACACGCTTTATGGCTAGCAAGCTATGATCTGTGAGCGCAATAATATACGTGCATGGATCGAAAAGTTTCCCAAGATTCTGACGGTCATCTTCAAAGAAACTTAAACAAGAGTCGATCTGACAGTGAATACAAAAATACAACAAAATCAATTCATAAACACCGGTACGAAAACAAGGCTCTCTGTAACAACTACAGCGTTGGGGGGGGCGGAATCCAGGGAACATAAAAGATAAAACAATTAATTGCTGCCTGTGTTCCCCACTTTACGGTCTTAAACACCGGGTATTAGATACTCCTCTTTAGCGCTCTCTTAAACAGAAATTTGGTGTTTCAACTGCCCCTCCCCCACAGTTAACATCAGTGCCCTTTCTTCCTCCTCCCTTACCCCTCCCAGTTCAAACAAATTAACATTTGTACTAAGGTACCTCCTATCAGCTCGCAGCTTCTTCCCAAACACGCCCACGTACACTGAAACTGGCCTGCGTCTGCACAACACACAGCTACAGGAAAAGGGCTCCGAGGGGGGCAGGTGGGAGGATAATTTAGCTCCGCACTGGTTTACGGCTATTTTCCAGATATTAACTCCTCACACTTGGCTCGGGTTTCTGCCAAATCACCTCCGAAGCACAGTGTTTATGAACCTACCTCATCCGATACTGCAATGGAATTCCGGATATTTGCAGACAGATATCCCGGCTTTGCAAGTGTTTGATCAGATCGGTCGGGAATCTCTCCTTTTCTCAGTACGCCCGCTCCTAGCCGTACAGCAACCAGACCTCGGGCCACGTACCCTGCCCGAGGCCAGCTCAGGACCAGCCTCTCCCCGTCCCGGGCTAGCCGGCGACCCGAGCTGCGGGCCGCTCCGCAACAGGTCACCCTGACCGCGGGCGCGGGTTCGCGGGCGGCCGGCTCGGCTGCCGGCTTCGGGGGCGCAGCGCCAGGGCCAGGGGAGGGGGTGTGGCCCGGCTCCGCGGTCCCCGCGCCGCGGTCGGGACTCCCGCTCACCTGAAGGGAGGCTGAGGCGCAGCTGGGCGCCAGGGCAGCGCGGGCCGAGGCCAGGGGCTTCCGCCACCCAGAGGGAGAGCGAGGCGGCCTCAGGGGGCCGCCGCGCCCCCGGCCTCGGTACAGAGGCCGGGAGCGGGGACCGCACGGCCGCCTCCAGCCTCCGAGAGCGAGCCGCCGAGGGAGACGCGGCCCCGGGCCCCCAGCGCCCTCCTCCCGCAGCCAGAGCCCCGCAGCCCCCTCTCCGTGCCGAGGGCGAGCAGCTCCGGGGCCCGCGGCCAGGAGCTCCACACCGCAGCGCCGGAGCCGCCGCCATTCCCCGCGCCGCCGCCGCTGCGGCGGCTCCGCGCCGCCCGGGGGGCGCAGCGCACCCACCTTCCCTCCCCCGCACCGCCCGCCGAGGCTCGGCACCGGGCCCGCGGCCCCAAAGCACCGACCTGTGCAGCTGCGGCAGTCGCCTCGAAGGATGGAAAGACAACGCCGGCTTCAGTCTTCGTTGTCGCCGCCGTCGCCGCCGCCGCCTAGGCTAGCGCCCGGCGACCCGAGCAGTCGGCGTCTCTCATTCAGCGCCCGCCGCCGCCGCCGCCGCCGCTCGGGGGAGGGGAGTGAGCTGGATCCACCCCGTCCGCGCCGGGGGGTGGGGGAGGAGAGCGGACCTGGCGGGCGCGCGCAGGGAGGGCGGGGCGGAGCCGCGTGCGCGCGCGCACCAAACGAGCGCGCTTGCGCGTGCCCCCAGCGCCGCGACCGGCGGGGTCTTCGCCGCGCGCGCCGCGCCAGCCGCTCTTCTGCCCCACAAGCCCAACTGCCGCGGGGGACCGGTGTCCGTGGCGCGCGCCGCTTGCCGCAGCTCCTCGGCCCCGCGCTCGCGGGAGGGAGGGGCCGCTGCCCCCCCAACGGAGGGGCGGGGAAGGGTTGAAGGGCCGACAGGTGGGGCACCCGCCGTAGCCGGCCACCTCCTACCGGCACGGGGCCCACCACGGTGAAATCCATCCTGGTGTCTGTCGCTGTCATCTTTAAGGCCGGAGAACAAAGTCTGGAAACACTTGACTCCCAGATGAAATATTCTGCCCGCGCCAGCGGTGGTTTTAGTTAAAAATAGTCGCGGCGGGCAAGTGAGAGGGCTCCAAATGTGAAGAGCCACCCCACTGCCATAGGACCATAAATTATGGTGGTCGATACTCTCATAAAGATTCGGGAAGTGTTAGAAGTAGGCCTTTGTAAGTGTTATGCAGGGGACCGCCCTTGGCTTAATAAGCAAATGACAGAAATTTGGCATCCTGGGGTCTCAGATTGATGAGTTCCAGGTGAAAAGTATTTTCACGTCAATGCATGAACAAGAGTCTGAATTATCAAATATTTTGTGTGAATGAAAAAGGATTAGATTCGGTATAAATGGTGGAAGAGTGTTGTTTCGGAGGGTGCACTGTATGGGGTGGCCTACTTAAAATTAGCACCATTTGATGCAGTGTGACTATAAATGGAAGGTTTTAAGTGAGCCACCTTTATATACGCCGTCATTAGACCATTTGGAAATGATGATTATTTGATGATCTGCAGCTCTTCTTTAGGCAGTGTGCAGTAGGCTGTGGAAGAAATACTGTGTACTAGCACTGGGTATAAAACATGAAAGGACCAAAATTGTTCCCATTTGGTTTCTTTCCTCCCTTTAATAACCACTAAGCAGAAATGATTAATCTTGTATATTATATTGAAGAATGCTAATTATTTCCTTCTTTGATCGCCTGGTATCCTAGCCCTTTACTCTTAGGGAAGCTAGATGTCTTCAACGCCTTCCCTCAAAGCCTTCCCTCCCCCTCTCCACACCCAAAGGTGAGTTGGCAAACAAAAACAGGGATAGACAAAGTTTATGGTTTTTCAATTTTATTGCATTTTGCTTTCAAAGAAAGTCTTAAAAGGAATCATAAAGATATCACTGGGAGAAGTGGGAAAACCAAAAGAAGGAAAAAAAACAACTTTCAAATGAGAATAGACTTAGAAAAAAGAGAACAGACTATTGGTTAAAAGGGGGGAAGTGTGTTATGTATACAGGAAGTTTTCCCATAGATGTGAATTGCTTCAAGTCCCAAAGAAACAACAGGCAAACAGAATTAGCACTTGGGGGAAAACCTTCTAGTTATCAAGTTAGGTAAATGTTTATTCTTTTTTAAGTGTTAATAAGAGATTAAGGAAAAGGTGGTTGGCTGTGTGCCAACAATAATACATACAACAATTACGTATACATACACATACATATATCCCATTTTAAGAAATAAATAATTAGAAATAAAACTGAGGAACAACAGGGAATTCTAGTATTAATGTCTTGCAATTACTTTAAACTTGAATTAGGGTTTCATAAACACAAATGAGGCTGTGTTCCTACATCTACCAATAATTTTCACAGTTTACCGTAAGAGCAGTGAAGTTTTCATTTGGATTTTGAAGAGAAAAAAGCATGTGACTCATGAAGGTAGGCCATGGATATTCTAAATTCTTATACGTACTAAATTTCTGAGTTTGGAATAATTACTCAAAATCTATTTCTTGTGTTGATAACCTCTAAAATAATAGTTTTATTAACCTTTAGAGTTGTGTTGAGTTCAAACTTCTGAAATTGGTGAGATTAAGAATTTACGAATAAAAATACAGAAGAAAAGTTTATTCTCAACATCTTTTTTTTTTTTTGGTCATAGCTTGGGAATTATTTTAGAAAGCCAGTGTCCCTTCCCATTTATTGATATGCAAATGGAACAATGGCTTTTTATACTTAAACAGGACCAGCAGCAAATTTTCTTTACCAGAGCATCTTTTATCACAGTTAAATTCTGTAAGTTGCCTTATGTATTCCATTTGCTTTTGCCAGGAGATAAGAGATATGCTAAGTCTTAGTATAACAAAAAGTACGAATGTATAAAAGAGAAATGCCATTATATAAAATAGAAATCAATAAGAATTCAATATGCTTAAAATTGTTTCAGAGGAATCACCATTATGTACCAGTTTTATTACTATCCATCAAAATTATTTCCAAGGGGTAAGCGAAAGAACTCATTTAGATATAGAACAAGCAGTTTCAGATAAGAGACCACCACAGCAAGAACCAAATCAACAAACAACTCCTCTCATTACTGCTGTCAAAATCAAACTGGCATAGTTAGAAACCTGATTATTTCAAAAACACCTAATTCTATTACAGCCAATGGAATTTCTGCAATCACATAGACCTATATTATTTCTCCTACCATTAATCTCTTCTTTCAAATATATATATATATTGGCCAGACATTTTGAAAAAATTTATCAGTTATGTTTGCAATGTTCTGATTTAAAATCTAGGCAAAATAGCAGACCCAAAATTCACTCTGAGGGAAAGGATATATGGGAGGACTTTGAAGAGGTAGACACACATTCTCCAGAAATCTGACACCAAGGTACGAGGAGAGCCTGCCACCATTCCCAATCAAGTGAGACATGCCACAGATACCAAGGACAAAGATAATCAACAGTCCATTCAAATATGAGTACCAACTGTCAAGAGGCATAAGGCCTTACTTAAGATTGAGCTGTTTCTCACATGGGCAACTCTATGCGGGGAATGGGTCAGCGGGGAAGTATTTACTTAATGATGTCTTGTTCCCCAGAATAAGTCTTGGGGACCAGCTAGTACATAAATAAATGTTTGCATGAACTAATAATTTTCAATATTAACTTTAAAGATGATTTCGGTAATGCCTCATTTATCTGACAGGACAAAGAAGGGGCAGTGAGGGATTGAACAAAATTAGATATTCTAGATAACAGAGGTTTTCATCTTAAAGCACTAGAAACAATTGAATTTATAAACCACGTGTATTGATTTTTTTTCCTGAAACGTCACCAGTTTCTCTGCCTTAAACTAATAAAACATAGTATAGTTTAACCTATTTCTAATGACCCAGAGGTATTTTATAATCAGAAGCAGTAATACCGAGATGTGTGTGGGAGCTTAGAAGTACTTGGTATCCTTCACTCTACAATAAATAATTGTGGCCTACTATGTTCGTGAATTCCTTTAAGTCTAATTGATCTGGATGGTGCTCATTATTGACCTTCCTGACGGTCCTACCGCACCGCCGCATACATTTATTAGCACACCTCCCTTTGAATTGTCTTATCACGTTAGCCTAGGAAGCCAAACAACGAATATTTTTAATGTATGTATAAAATAAGAGGAAAGAACCTCAGAATATACTAAAACTATTCCAATATGTGGGGGACATTTACTTAATAGAAAGGCCATTTGTCTACTTTCATGTTTTCCTCAATATTTTGGATATTTGGGTTTACCAGATAAGTGAATCATTATTGCATTCTACTTTCTATAAATTTTAGGCATTTTCTCCATACTGAGGATCTTTGTTGATAATATTCGTCACAGTAGTTTCCTTATATATCCTGCTTTCAAAATAAGGTTAGAATTAAAAGCCCCAGGAATTCATAAATCCATATCAGTAATAAATGGATAAAATGAGTGGAGAAGAGGAGGGTACTCTTGTTTATGGTGGAATATTGAATGCCAACAGGTAAGTGTGGAGGGAGTGCTGGAGCTGGACAATCACCATTTTGCAACCATTGTGGCAAAGATTGGGTAACACAAAAACCGTCAATGGATGCTAAATATAAGGAGACATTTTGATGAGAAACAGAATATTTGCATCATCTCACAGTTCTTCCTGTAGACTTCCTATTACTTGCAAGGAAGGAAAAACACTAATTATACACTAGAGAAATTGGACAAAATCTTGACCAGGTAATCGAAATTAACATCATGAATGAGGGACAGGTGCACATTGTTTGCCTTGAGATGTGATTCCCGGAGGACAGAGCACCTAATGAGGAAACGAGGAAGTTGAATGAGGAATCTGATAAAGCAATATCAGATTCCAAATGAAGAATATTCTAGATCTTGTTTTGTTTTTTAATGCGGGGTGGTGGCTATATTCTTCAAAGATGTCAATGCTATGAAAGACAAAGACTATGAACATATTCCAGCTAAAGAACCATGACAACTAAATGCAATATGAAATACTAGACTGGAACCTTTACTGGAGGGGAAAATAATTCTGTAAAGCACATTACTGGGTTAATTGGAAAACAGATGGTAGATTGATTAGATAAAAGTATCAATGTTAAAATCACTGAAGTGGGTAACTGTACTATGGTTGTGTCTCTAAATGCTGTGGTATTTAGGAGTAAAGGACTAGGAGCTATGCATGGTTGAGAAATATATAGAGAGAGAAAGAGAAGAGAAAACATAATAAAACAAGCAAAGCACTAACAATAGGTGATGTCAAGGGTGTTTAGGTGTTCCCTGAAAATGTCTATAAATTTAAAATTATTTCCAAATAAAAAGCTTTTTAATTTCAAAAAAGCAGCAGTAAAAGCAACCCATAGACTCTAACATTATAATTATTTTAAATGACCACCTTACTGCCAAATCCCACGGGTTTTATGACGCCTCGCCTGAAATTGTCTCATTTCATGGGTTCAAATTATAGAAACAATGCATTTTATAATTGAAGAGTCATCTAACTTTTTATTTTATGAA